AGGCTGGCGAGCCGTGCGGCCGCAGCTCCCTGTGACAAGCTGGCTCTCCCCATGTCAGACTGCACTAGTGCTCTCTCTGATGATTCACTCCCAAACCAAGAGCCTTGCAGAGCACGGAAGCCCCCACACTAGCATGTATAACAGAGTGAAGACTTCACGATGAATTAGACGATACTGTCAACACCGTGTGTATAGCACACATCGTCTCGGTGACAAAACAGGGCTCATTAGCTCCTTACCAGCCGGGGGAAGGATAACTTGCCTTTTTTTTTTCTTTTCTTTTTTCTTTTTTAAATGTCTAAATCCAAAGTCTTGCTGGTTGTTTTTTTTAATCAATTATTAAATCTCAAATCAATAGCTACATGAGTGATCGCCAGTGAAGCGTTACCTGACTGACGGGACAGCGTTCCCCAAACGAGACAGAACTGAAAGTGTACTCAAGCTCTACGCAGTCATGAGAATACAGCGTTAACCCAATGGACATGGCAATGGTTTAACATGATGGCGTGTATTTCCAACCAAAGCATCCCAGCACCATTCGTTAAGAGTCAGGTTTCATTTTCCAATGAACGTGGCGTTATTTCAGGTAGAAGCTGTTCAAATTCTGTCCCCATCCAAGGACCAAAACCACCCACCCACGCTGTAGTAAAATTAATAATAATAATAAAAAAAGAACAGCAAACTTTGAGAATAAAGCCATAGATGTGCACAGAGCACTCACTCACATGCACCAGGCAAACAGGCTGGCAGGCACAGGAGGCCACTACAGAGTCACAGAGAGAAAGGAGTGAGTTAGGGCAGGATGAGGACAGGGAAGATGCACAGAAACTCAAGTACGGAGACACTGGCAGACAAGAGACTCGCGCACAAGCGACCATGCAGGAAGGGCAGAGCCTGGCATGCGAGACTAGCTTTCGAGAGCAAGTCCTGTGAGAGCAGGGGCAGAAGAGCCCGCCACGGGCGCTGCTGCGACCTCCTTAACGTGCCGGGCGAGATGGGCTCCCCAAGAAGGGCTGGAGAGCGGCGGGCGCCCCTGGGGTACGGCCCCTTGGCGGCCAAACGCGGACACCACGTGCAGGGTTCAGCTCTCAAACACGGGAGGCCGGATGGGGGTTAGGGCAATGCCCGCAGTGATGGAGCTGGCCAGGATGATAACCTGGCAGGAGAGCGTGCAAAGGATGAGATGGGCTCTAACGTACTCCCATCCTCGTTTAGGGATAATTGGCAGTTTCTCGTCTGGTTGGTGTGGAAGGAGAAGGGGAGCTGCTGTCAGCTAGCATTAGCAGGAGCCGGCAGAGCTCTTCTGGCAGGCTGCAGAGCACCGTCAACACGTTCCTCAAGCTCAAGCCAGTGCTTCACATCTGCTTTTCTACCACGCTAGTCTGGTAATAATTTAAACCAGCCTAACTCCTCAAACAAGCGGCATACTTCAGAATTTCTGTCCAATTTACAAGTCAAATCACATGGGCCAGCACAGCCCATGATGATACCTTAAGTACTTCAGAAAATTTTGATGCTCTTCATTTCCTGCAGCAAAGAATTTCCCTTTTTATTACCATTTTCTTGACAAGAATTTGTGACTTTATTTTTTTAATCTTCCTTTTGAATAAAGATCAGGGAAGGTGGTTTGGACGTTTTGCAAGAATAGCATAGGGAAAATCGCTGTGAATATTAAAATGATTTCAATGGACAATAGTATAATTCAGAGGTTTAGTTAAACCAGCCGATTGTCAAAAACGAGATTCATTGTCATTCATCCCAAGAACAGGCATCACAAGGGCTCTGTGCTGCCGCACAATTCAGCCCGCTCCCTCTCCAGAGAGCACCCTCAGGGATGTAAGGTGAAACCCCAGAGCAGCGAGCAACGCCACGCAACCGCAACCGGAGCAGCGCCCTGGACCCCCACAGGACAGGGAAGGAGGACAGTGCGGGGACTGCTCCCCTGCTTTTATGGGGGGAACTGCAGGGAGGCAGGAGGGAAGCAGGCAGGAGGGAACAGCCATGAAGCTAGAGATTGAGAAACGTTAATAATTCAGCATGCATTAACGTGCACATTCCTTGCCTTGAGAGCAAAGAGCATGAATCGATTGCCCGGCTCCTTTCACCACTGGAGCGGCTGTTTCTTAACGTCTCAGATTCCCTCCGAGAGCGATGCTACTGCCTGGAGAACCCAGCACCCTCCTTTCTGTGCCCTGCACGAGTTGCAGGCTCTCGGCAGCGGCTTCGGGCATGAGCGCTCAGGGCTGGTGCTCCAGCCCACCTCTCCCTGGCTGAGGCACTGCTGCAACACAGCAAGGCTCTGCTGGAAACAGGACAGTGCACGGAGGACGTGCCCATGTGTCTGAAGTTGTGCCCATGTGTCTGAACCAGGCGGCTTCTTCCCGCCGGTTCTCTCGGCCCCAGCACAGCCACGCAAACGCGCCAGCACACCTCCCCCAGCCAGGAGGTGAGACTCTGGTTCGTTGCTCCAGCCAGGAAAGCTGGAAGATGCTGGGGCATGGGGACGTGATCTCCACCTAGCCACACATTTACCCTGCCCCAAACTCCCTCCTTTCTCAGGCACCACCTCCTCAGAGCTGGGAAGGAGTGAATTTAGGAGATATCTTCAAACACGATCATCGGTCTGCATGGTTTGCTCAGCTGTAGACACCTTTCATCTCTCTCTCGTGCTATCATTTTAAGGAAGGACTTCAAATGGAAAGGCAGTTACTGGTGTCTCACAATCTATTGACAGAATCAACAGCAGGAGAGGAAAAATTGGAGCCAGAAAAAATGCATTTACAGTCTAATCTTGTGCTCAAACAATGCTGTACTATTTATGCTCCCAATGCATCCTTGAGTGCTGACATTTTATAGACAATTTCCAAAACAGGGCCTTGCCATTTTTGGATTATATTTCAGCTATAACTTTTAGGTCTAATTATTTGCGCTGACAACCACATATAAAAGAGGATATATCATTACAGTGGTGCAGCACTGGAGACACATCAGCATTCAGCATACTGACATACTAATAGCAAAGTAAGGGAGAGCAAGATTGTGGAGCTACGCAATTTGCATTCGCTCTCTGAAATTTCTCTGATGAAAATAACACAACATTAAGGAGGGGAATAAGAGAAAAGATCCACTGTATCAAGATAAAATAACTCGTTAATAAATAACCTTGTAGCAGTCGCAGAGCAATAATTAAATGCATGGGTGAGCAGTACACAGTTTTAAGTAAAGCTGGAAAAAATGTAAGATGTAATTATCAGTGCCAAACAAATTATAAGCACGGCAAATCCCACTGGAATATTTAGAAACTAATTTCTGGCTTCACATTAAATATTTGCGTACGTGGGTATTTTTGGTGGGGTGGGAAGGAGGGGTCAACACAAAGAATGAGAAATTATCTGCTCCTGCTGGCTTATATCCATTCTTGGCTTCCTCCCCTCAGCTAAACCATGCGGCTAAAACATTTAAGTGCCCTGTCAAAGGTTTATTCTCCAGGGGTGTCTGAGCCATCACAGCGGTACTCCAAATTCACTGAAATCTGGGAGGCTTTGGGCCTTGGCTTTAGTTTTTTCTTTCTTCCTTGTTCTCATTTTCCATCATTGTCTTGGGCTCAGGTAATTTTATCCTCTACGAATTCTATTTTTAGAGGGTAAACAAGGGCCCTTTGTCTCAGTACAATCTGAACGAGAGCACGTTCCAGGGAGAGAAATGGGAACGAAATCAGTGTACTGGAACAACTGCTATGACAACTTGTTAAAACCTGTTCCAGTGATGATTATAAGATCAACCCATGCAGCTGCC